TGACATGTCTGCCACTGACATCTAGCATCAGCCAAGGCCCAATCCCCGTGCTCCTCCTGAAACACCCTCACCCACTCCACACTTGGACTTCCAGTGGAGAGGCCCTGGAGTCAGCTAGTCCCCAAGTTTCCAGGTGCCTTCACTGGTCCTGCCCCTCCCTGGCCATCCGTACCCTGCCAGCACTGCTTGATATCTCAGCCTGAAAGGTGCCAGATAAATAAATATGAAATGCAGCATTTGGGCAGGCAGTGACACTAGGCTCTGGAGCTTACAAGATGACCCACTCTGATCCTGAGCAATTGGTGGGAGTTGCTAGTTCCCTGTCTGCTGAGTTCCCATAGGCCACTCTGGCCTCCAGTCCAGAGCCAATTAAGGGTGGCCCGCATCCCTTGAGTGGAGGGTGTCAGAGTACTAGGAGAGAGCAGTGGGAACCCTACCTGTTACTGGTGATGGAGCAAGGGCCAGCCTCATATAGCAAACATTCATTCTCTGCCCGGTAGTGGATAGATACCAGAGAGACAATGATGCAGCAAAAGTGGTCACTAACCTTCAGGGACTGGGGCAGATGAACAGATAATTGCAATGAGATGAACAGTGGGGTCACAAAAGAGGTAGAGGAGCTGGGTCAGCTGGGTACTGAGGGATGAACAGAAGTTTGCCATAAGAAGTCCAGAGAGATGGAGGGAGTTTCAGACACATGCAGTGGCTGTTGTGAAAGGGTCTAGGGTGAGGTTTTTGGCATGGAGGTGAGTAGGGCAGGACAAGAAGGATGGCAGGTGAGAGGCCAGCCAGTGAATATGTTGCTAGGTCAATCTGTGCTGGTGCAGAGGCTAGGGTACAGGATGTGAGGAGCATGGTATAGAGTGAGCTCAGGAAGCTGGCTGGGGTCAGGATATGACTCTGGTTGCAGTGGGAAGTCATGGGGGAGATGGTGCAGATATTTGCATGGAAGATCACTCTGGACCATCAGGGTGGGCTTGATAGACCATGCTCTAAGTGGTAAGGCTGGAGGGAGGGGGCAGACTAGATAGTGATTTACAAGGTGTGATGAGCAGGGCCCAGTGACAGAGCCCCCAAGTATGTAGTAGATGAGAGATGAGAAGAATGCATATGGCTAGGAAGTTGGATGTGCCATGGATTGAGATGGGGAACAGGGTAAAGGGTAGAGACTGGAGGATTTCTGCTGGTTAAGGATCAGCGAGGTGAGGTGACCTTTAAGAGGCTGAATGATGACCAGATCTGGGATCCTCTGGTCCATAGGGCCAGCTTTCTCTCCTCAGTAGCTCCTTTGCCTCACATCCCACCCCAGCACAACTGTGGACTAGACTGGACAGAAGATGCTTAATAAGTGTGTACACCTATTCCTAACTTACTATCTCATTTTGCATTCAGCTATTTGAGGGCCACAGTACCCTCCAGCTGTGACTGCCACTGAGGCTTCTTGGGCTACACCTTCAGGAGAAATGGAGATGGAGCTAGAAGACACAGTGCAGTTTGCAGCACCCAGGTGGCACTGAGGCTGTAGTTGGCCTGGGCAGGGCCTGCATCTGTTCTTGTTCTCTCTGCCATTCCCCAAGTGGATCTTCCATCGTTCGTTTGTTATTAATGCACTCAGTGCTTACTTGGTCATCTTTTTCTCTCAGCTGTTTCATCCACATGTTCATTTAGTAATCTACTTTCGGCTCCTTGGGTGGTTTATTTACACATTCATTCATTAAGTAGGCAGATGTCTTAACTTCCTAGGGCTGCTGTAACAAAATGCCACAAATGGATATTTTATTTTCTCATAGTTTAGGAGGCCAGAAGTCTAAATTTAGGGCATGGCTCTAGGGGGAGGTCATTTCTAATCTGTTCTTTCTGTGAACCTCTCCCGGTGGAATACACAGAGTCACTGTACCAAAAAGAACTGATTGATCTTCATCCATTACAGGAAGTGGCATATGATCTAGAACCAATGGTAATGAAGGAAGAAGTCAAAGCTGCAATGAAAGAACTGGCGAAGAACAAGGGTCCGGGAATTGATGGCATACCGATTGAGATATTTCAACAAACAGATGCCCCGTTGGAGGCAGTCACTCAGTTATGCCAAGAGATTTGGAAGACAGCTACCTGGCCAACTAACTGGAAGAGATCCATATTTGTGCCCATTCCAAAGAAAGGTGATCCCACAGAATGTAGAAATTATAGAACAATATCATTAATATCACACGCAAGTAAGATCTTACTGAAGATAATTCAGAAACGTTTGCAGCAGTATATTGACAGAGAACTTGCAGAGGTTCAAGCCGGATTCCGAAGAGGACGTGGAAGAAGGGATATCATAGCTGTTGTCAGATGGATCTTGGCTCAAGACAAAGAATACCAGAAAGAGGTTTACTTGTGTTTTATTGACTATGCAAAGGCATTTGATTGTGTGGATCATGACAAATTATGGATAACATTGAGAAGAATGGGAATTCCCAAGCACTTGATTGTACTCATGAAGAATCTGTACCTTGGCCAGGAGGCTGTCGTTTGAACAGAACAAGGGGTCACTACATGGTTTAAAATCAAGAAGGGAGTGCGTCAGGGTTGTATTCTTTCTCCACACTTATTCAATCTATATGCTGAGCAAATAATCCAAGAAGCTGGACTATATGAAGAAAAACGTGGTATCAGGATTGGAGGAAGAATCATTAACAACCTGAGATATGCAGACAATACAACTTTGCTTGCTGAAAGTGAGGATGACTTAAGGCACCTACTGATGAAGGTTGAAGAATACAGTCTGCAGTATGGATTACGTCTCAATAGAAAGAAAACAAAAATCCTCACAACTGGACCAATGAGCAGCATCACAATAAATGGAGAGAAGATTGAGGTTGTCAAGGAATTCACGTTGCTTGGTTCTACAATCAATGCCAATGGAAGCAGCAGTCAGGACATTAGACGGCATGTAGCATTGGGAAAGTCAACTGCGAAGGAACTGTTTCAAGTGCTGAGGAGCAAGAATATCTCCTTGAGGACTAAGGTGCACCTGACACAGGCCATGATATTTCCAATCGCCTCGTATGCATGTGAGAGCTGAACAATGAATAAGGAAGACCGAAGAAGAGTTAATGCTTTTGAGTTGTGGTGCTGGCTAAGAATGCTGAAAGTACCATGGACTGCTAAAAGAACTAACAGATCTGTCCTGGAGGAAGTGCAGCCAGAATGCTCCTTGGAAGCAAGAATGGCCAGACTTCGTCTCACCTATTTTGGTCATGTTGTCAGAAGGGACCATTTCCTGGAGAGGGATGTCATGCTTGGTAGGGTGGAAAGAGGGGGAGGCCTTCAACGAGATGGATTGATACGGTGGCCGCGATGATGGGCTCGAGTATAGCAGGGATTGTGGGGCTGGTGTGGGATCGGGCAGTGTTTCGTTTTGCTGTGCATGGGGTCGCTATGAGTCGGAAACGACTCGAGGGCACTTAACAACAACAACAACACAACAGTATTCAATTGTGTGCATGTATCATAATTTATTCAGTCATCCATTGATGGGCACTTACGTTTCCATCTTTCTGCTATTGTGAATAAGATTAATGAACATGAGTGTATATAACACAGAACACTTTTTTGAAATAATGTGTTATTCCCAAGTGAGACACAACATACCACCAAAGCCTGCAGACACAATGGGAAAGGTCAGAACTTCAGTGGACTTGATTTAGTGCTTTTGTTTTGAATTGCATGTGGAGAGACACTATCTGCTTAGTGCTCCAATTCTCTAAAGTTCTTGTTAAAATGAAAGTAAAGAGACAATGCTAGCACTTGGTAAAGGAGTTGCCACTCAGAATGTCCTGGATACCCCATCTTTTTTCATGAAAGAAACCAATCTTGAGTGGTTCCATTCATTCTTTCCTCTCAGCAGGGGTTATTTTGGCCCTCAGAGGACATTTGCAATGTCCAGAGTCAGTTTTGTTTGTACAACTGGGGAGCTGCTACTGCTAAACATCCTACGATGTATACGAAAACATAGAATGATAGGTGCAAAGTATAGCCATGTTGAAGGTGAGCAACCCTGGTCTAGAAATGGTGATAGATTGTTTTCATGAACTTGGTATATCTCATTGCTTGTCTTTTCAAACTCACAGAAAAAAATATTTAGTATTATATCATTGTGTGTCATTTTCTAAAAATTTATACATATGATCTATGAAATTTGCAACATGTTTTTTTTATATGACATTATGTGTTTGAGAACTTTACATATTGATGCCTATGGATCTAGTTCATTTATTTTAATGTCTGTGGTTGAGCTACCTTGAGAGTAGGTCACATTTTATCTTCCATTCTTCTATTGATGGACACTTTTGTTGTTTCTGTTCTCTTCTGTTGTAAGCAATGTTGATGGAACATCTTTCTAAGTGCTTCTTGCACACATGTGAGGTTGATGGGGCAGATGCTTTGGAGCAGAATTGCTGAGTGTGGAGAATACCCGTTAGCAATTTCACTAGCCACTGCCCAGCACTCAGCACTCAGTGTTGTCAGTTGTTTATGTTTGGGACAAAGTACTTGATTGGCTGGTGAGAAAAGGTACACTACTATTGTTTTGTTTTTATCTGATTGTTAGTAAGGCTCAGCATCTCTCCACATATGCCTCAGCCACTTGGGTTTTCTCTGGAGTCTCTGTAAACCTCAATGCTGGTGGGTCCCATTCACGCTATGTGATAACCTACATATTAGCCCTAGGTGTGGTGACACTTTGCTCTCAGGCTGCTGAACGAGGTGCCCACTGCTCCTCTGTGTCCTTCGACAGGGCATGACACAGTTGATTAAGTTTCAGCTTCTTTATCTTCTGTTTTATGAGACTACACTGCAGTAGCCTTTGCTGGACTTGGGTGTTCCCAAACCTCCGCTTGTTCCCAGAGGGTAACTTTGTTTCTGAATTCTGGGGGCCTGCCCTCCTTGGCACTGAGGGTTCTGGCTGCAGGGCACTGGATAGGCTTTCTGTTGATGCTTCTCTGTCCCTGCAGGCAGACCTCTGCGTTATGACCAGACTGCTGGACTACGTGAACCCTTCAGATCCCAGCTTTGTGGCTGCTGTCCTCACTATCACCTTCAACCCACTCTTCTGGAATGTGGTAAGTGTCCTGCTGCTGGCACTGTCTGGGTCAATGTTCCAGGTCTGGGGGCTTGTCATGGGGACAGTCAGACAGCTGTGTCTTCCCTCCTCATTGTCTGTCTCTGTCAAGAGTGGCTCCCATAACTCCTGCCTCCCGTCCTCCTGCCTGCCCAATGCAGAGCAGAGGGTGGGCCTGGCCCCATCATAGTCCTTTGCTAGGGAGGCCCTGAGCTTCAGAGATGCCAGCACAACCTTGGCATTGACTGGCCGACCTAGTCCTTTGTTTCGCTCGGGCTGATGCTCAGATGTCTCAGACAGCACAAATGGCATGCAGCCAGCATTTGGTCCACCTGGCCTCTGGGACTGGGAGTGCTACCTCAAATGTGTTCACAGTGACTTTATCCATACTCTTATCTAAGTTATGAAGTTTTCTTCCTGTCTGCCATGTTACACAATGAAACCATTTTCTTGGGAATCCTTCCCTGGCTGTGGACTCCATCAGCATTTTTATTTTCCCTAGATGAGGCTTCTTGCAAAAAAACCCTGCCCACCCCTGGACTGAGGTATGCTGTAGCACAACAAGCCAATGTGAATTAAAACCACAAGACAGTGGGTGGCCATTTATAAGGCACAGGGTACACAGATGGCCTAGGGAAGAAAGTGGGTGGCCATTTATAAGACACAGGGTACACAGATGGCCTAGGGCTGACCACTTGGGCAAGCCTGCACCTAAGAGACCCAAGCTTGGTGAGGCTTGAGGAGGTATGAGATCACTCCTCTCCCATCATAACATATTGTGGGGTGCTGCTCTTGAGGTTTCCAGTTCACTCTTGGTGGCTATCCCTGGAGAGTGGACCAACACAGCAGACGTGCCCGAGGGCAGAGGAGGGCTTTAGGGCTCAGCCCTTGCATGCAGTAACTGAGCAATACTTGGGTCTGCTAGTGTAGAGCCTGCAAATGTGATCTTCCTTGAAGGGAATCTGAAGAGAAGGCAGAGAGGAACACTAGCAACACACTGTTCCTGCCTGTTTTCATTTAAGGGGACTCTTGGCCCAGGGGACAGAACAGAACATGTTTTTTTATTGGGTTTATGAGTGAGGTGGACATGGGTGGTGGATGTGTGGGGGGCATAGGTGGAGGATGGGTTGGAGCAGGCGGAGTCCTGCTCGTGTTCCATGAGTGATCCCTTCTGTTCTGAACATGCTGGACCTGCTGCATGGCTGCCTTGGCAGCAAAGGGGACAAGAGAATAGGGCACTTCTGGCTTGCAAGGGAGTGGGAGAAGATAGGCTGAGCCTAGCTGGGCTGAGTGGGGCACTGAGAGAGAGTGGTTCAGAGATATGCTGGGGTGCTCTGTCCATGTGGGCATGAAACTGAGGCCAGCGGACTTGGCTTGAGATGTTTTGGATTGACCCAGGGGAAGACTGATGTCAAGACACATGGAGATCTCCAAGGAAATCGAGGCCCACAGATAATGAAAGGAGACAAAGATCTTCTCCTAGAGCCAATAGAAGGTCAACAATTCAAACCCACCAGCCACTCCATGGAAGGAAGACGGGGCAGTCTACTTCCATAAAGATCATATTTGATTTGGGTGAGGGGAGGGGTGGTATGGCAAGAGTATATGACCAGCATGGTGACAATGGGGAGAGGGAGGACACACAAACATACATAAAAGATATAGACAACAGAGGCAAATACTGTTATGTGCACAATACTGCTTTACCAGTGGCAGCCAAAGTGAGAAGATCAGGTGGGGGTAGGTGAACAGGAATACACCCCAGACAAAGGATAGATTTGTTGTTGTTATGTGCTGTCGAGTTGGACCTGACTCATAGCAACCCCTCCTTGGGTTTCCGAGGCAGTATTACTATGGAAGTAGATGGCCCAACCTTCCTTCTGAGGAGTGGCTGGTGGGTTTGAACTGCCAGCCTTCTGGTTAGCAGTCAACTGCCTTAGGCACTATGCTACCAGAGCACCT